CCTTGTTTGTAGAGATATGAAACATTTCATTAAACATAGCAGAAGCTCTACTTATAACCCATTAATTTTAATATATTCGATAATCATTAATCTCATTTACCCATCGAAGCCTTAGATTTGGCAAAAGCTGCATCCACTAGTGGTATATTTTGTGGGAAAATATTACAGATAGAACAAGATGGGGAATATTGCATATCATTTTTAAGACTTAAGGATAAATATAGTGAGCAGTTTGTTATGCCCAATGTTCCTGATATAGCTTCCGTCAACAAGAAAGATGTGAAATATATTTTGCCTGTACCAAAACTATGTGACAGCAAAAAACGACAACAATGCTATTTTGTCAACTTTTGTCATGCTTTTTCAACTAGTTTAGCGTCTTTTGCTCTAACTCGTTCCCACGATTTATTCTCCAATATTTTGTCTGCTTCGTGTCGGTCATGTAAATCTGTATTTTGAGGATATGCAATATCGTGTTTTTTATAACAGCGTCTAACGAATTTATTCCTTCGTCTCCTCGCCTCAGCCTTTCTTGTAGACTTGCTCGTGTAGACTTTCTTGCTTCAAACGGAAGTTTGTTGATTAGACTATCGATCAAACGTTTTCCACGACGTGTTCGCACTTGCTTATATCTCACCATTGTGGTACTTATATTTCAAACACACTCTGTTTATAGTCTCAGTTGTTGACAAACTTGAATACAATGAAGATTAAAGAACATAGCCTACGCCTTCCCATTACAAACCATGATATTAACTCAAGCGAAGTCATGGGGAAACATGGCCTTTGGTTTGGTGGAGATTCTAAACGGACCAAGCGGATGTGGTAAAACTAATGCAATGTTATGACTAATAGATCATCCAATCAGGTTAAGGTTTGAAAATTTGTACATATACTCCAAGAGTTTACATCAGCAGAAATATATTTACTTACGAAATTTATGCAGTCCTAGGAAAGAAATAGGTTATGAGAAATATACGAATGATGAAGATATTAGTCCAAAACATATAAAAGATAATTTAATCATAATTTGTGATGATGTAGCTTCATGTGATCAAAAAATTATTCAGCAGTATTTTTGTTTTGGCCGGCACGAGTCTACAGATTGTTTTTATGTCTCACAAACTTATTCTGTAATTTCTAAACAACTTATTAGGGATAATGCGAATTTGTTGATAATATTCAAGCAAGACATGACAAACTTAAAACATATCGACCATGCTGAAGAAGAGTGTTACAACTCAAAATTCTCCGTTTTCGAGATTTATGCAGTAATCAACCGAAAAAGTGATATACTTTTCTGAGAAAAATTATTACAACTGTAGTTCAAAATTTGTACGCCAGATTACGACATGCAACATGGTAACGTCAGTAGTTTTGACCAACTGCTCTGAACGAGAGTGTTACAACTCAGTGTGTTACCAAATGTTCAGTTGGGATTATCGCCGCTTCTTAGAAACACCATTACATTTCGGTTTAAAACATATCAAGTGACTGTGCTATTTCTAGAAAAGTGTTATATCGGGGTTGGAAGTTGAATATTTAGTAGTATTGATTGTAAAAAACGTTTTATATTTAAATGTAACTCTTAGCTGTTATAGATTTTATTAAGAATAAAGTAACATTGTGACTTGTAACAGTATTCTCGAGAAATTTGAATTAAATTGTTGTTTGAATAAAGTAACATTGTGGCTTGTAACAGTCTTCTCGAGAAATTTGAATTAAATTGTGGTTTAAGTCTAAATGTATCTATAATCTGCAGATTTTAGTTTTTGTATTTGTATTATTTTAGATTCATTTTTAATAGTAATCCTAATCACTATTAAAAATATCATGAATGTTAGTTAGTTAGAACAGAGTATGTTTTGCTAAGAAAAAAATTATTGTATAATTATTTGGCAGAATGTTGTGAGTAATACGTTTTTCTCTCACGTAAAAATGTTTTACTTTTGTTAGTATTGAGAAATTAATTATTTCTTATAATAATAATAATATAATTATATTTTACCACAATTTAGAAAAGTGAGTTATTTATGTTTGTGTCAATTTCCGTGATGTTTTTATTCTATCAATAATTTACTCAATTATTACCATTTCAGGAATACCGTAAAAATATAAAACCATGTAAACATCTGGTCGAAGTACACACATATTGCGTATGTTAAATATTCATATTAGTTGTAACGAAAATTTTAATATCTCTCAAAATACTACATCCGAGATACCCAAAGAAACTGAGTGTATAACTACTACAACTACTGATGAATCTATGAATCTATTTAGCAACGATGCCACACTTCATTGTCATCCCAACCAAATGGTTAATTTTGTTGGTGCGAGTACTTCTGGAAATCCAATTAATGAAGAGAACCCAAACCACAAATTATCCACCGAAGTGCTTAAAAATGTATCGAATATTTCTCCTCTTCTTGGTACTGAAAATAGTAAGGGAAACAACTCTAATTTGTTTATATATAGCGCTAAAACTGTTCTTTTTTAGAAAATGTAACTTTGTCATCAAAGCACGATAGGGCAATGGTATCTGATGAGGATAGTGCAATAGTTCATAATGCAGAAATATCTACAGCAGGGAACAAACTAACATGCATAGGTAGTCACATAATACATTAGTGTAATTTTATTTTACATACTTATGAATTTCTATATAAAATTAATATTTTTTATGTTGTAGAGAATCTATCATCAAGCTTATCTTCATCTTCATCAAGCTCATCTGATATTAATGAAAATAACTTCAATGCTGCTAATAGAATTAAAGGTGACATAATCAAACATCATTTTGAGTCTAGATTTAATGGAACATTATTGTTTTAGATTACTCCGATGAAGACTCACAAAATGATCCATATGGATCCGATGATAGCGTGCGCGATCCCTTATATCAGGAGACCCGTGAATCTTCCGATTCTGAAGCAGAAATAGAAGTAGACCAAGATGAGAATCCGTCAATGAGAAAGAAAATGTCGGCTGAAACTCAAACTGAGAAAATTGGAAAAAAAAAGAAAGAGAAGACCCGAATTATGGCAAAAGAATCAATCAAAAAATTTAAGAAACAAGGGAAAATCTTATATTTCTACTCAAATACAGAAAAATGAAAATGGTACACTATTAAGAGTAAAAAAAGAAAGGCCACGAAGATTCATTCTACCACCATGTGGTCAAAAATGTAGGCTTAAATGCTCTGACAAAATTTCTGCTGAACAACGAGAACTCATTTTTTCAGAATTTTATAGGCTTGGAGATCTTGGAAAGCAAAGAGAATATATAGCATCAAATATGACACAAATAAATCCAAAATATAAATACAGTAATGTTGCGAATCCAAGAAAACCGAATAATGCATTTACCTGTATAATTTCTGGGCAAAACATAAGGGTTTGTAAAACATATTTTATAACAGCTTTAGCAATTAACAATAGAACTATTCAGACTGTACTCAAAAAACAAAGTTTATGTGAATCTGGTAAGGTTATTGATGTAGATAGAAGAGGAAAACACGGAAACCATAAAAAGATAATTACCGAAATACAAGACAGAATAAGGTTACACATAGATTCAATTCCGAGAGTCGAGGCTCACTACTGTAGAGCCAATACTTCACGCGAATTTATAGAAGGTGGAAACACTTTGTCAGATTTACATAGAGATTATGTAAAATTATGTCAAGAGGAGAAAGTGGAATATGGAAATACCGAAGAAGGATCAATGTGAGTTGTGTCTGGAGTATCACAGATGTTCAGAAACGGAGAAAGCTAAATTGGAAGACGACTATAAATCTCATTTAAAGGAGAAGGTACTCAGCCGAGAAGAAAAACAAAACGACAAACAGAAGAGTGCCGATGATGTGACAGTTTTAGTTTATGACCTTCAAAAAGTTTTGCTATGTCCTACTGGACATGCAAATTCATTCTATTACGTCTCAAAGGTGAAAGTTTTTAATTTTAGTATATTTAACATCAACAGAAGAAGTCTGCTATTTGTGGCACGATGGAGAAGGTTTGCGAGGTGCAAACGAAATAGGAACATGCCTTTTTAAATATCTTTAAGATCTTTCTAATAAAAGTAATGGAGCAGATTTGAACATAATTTTTTAGTCTGATAATTGTTGTGGGCAAAACAAAAACAAATATATACTTGCCCTTTATGTATACATGATCAACAAACTAAGAATCAAGTCTATCACCCACAAATTTTTTGTTAAGGGACATAGTCAAAACGAAGGGGACAACGTACATGCCAAAATCGAGAATGAGATTACAAAATATAAAAAGTCCAGTCCTATCTTTGTTCCCGATCAATATGCTGTAATAATCAGACAGGCTAAAAAAACGGGCAAAAAATATGAGCTGAACGAACTATGTTCCACAGACATACTGGATTTAAAGAAATTGTCTTCACATCTCTACATTAATATTTCAAAGCACGTCAAATTTTCCACTCCCCGAGTTATTAAACTGCAAAAATCTGATCCCACTACCTTGTTTTATAAGTACTCGTATGGAGAAGAAAGTTTTATGGAAACTGAAATTATTAATCACAGAAAAAATATTGAATTTGATAATATAATATTAGAACCTGCTTTTGTAAACAAACTAGGGATTTCAGAGGCAAAGAAAAAGGGGTTGCTGGAGTTAATTCCAAAAAAAATGTGTTCCCCATTATTACTTTGATTTTTTTAAAAACCTTTAGATTATTTTAGAATATTATTAGATATTTAAGTTTGAATTTTAATCATAGTGTTTAAATTGCCAAAAAATGATTATTTAAGACAAGCATTTGTTCATTTTGTTAGTTTTTAATAAAAATAAAATTGTTTTAAGTTGGAATATGTTTCTCATTTTCTACAGAAGAAAGGTATAAGTTCTAAAATTTTTTGCAATAAGAAATTATTTCTTGTAAAAGCAATGTTTTGTTAAACAACTCTTTTATATTATTAAAAAAAATATGAAATCATTCTTTCTTCTTCTTTCAGTGCCTATTCGTTCTGAATATTGGCAATCATTCTGGCTATAATTATTTTATTAACTGCTGCTTTAAATAAATTCGTTGTTGTTGTGGAGAACCATTTCCTCAGGTTCTTCAACCATGATATTCTCCTTCTCCCAATTCCTCGCTTTCCGAATACTTTACCCTGTAGGATTACCTTCAGTAATCTGTATTTAGTGCTGTTTCTCATTATATGTCCGAGATATTCCAACTTTCTCCTTTTAATGGTATACATCACCTCTCTTTCTTTGCCCACTCTTCGTAATACGGTCTCGTTGGTTATCTTGTCTGTCCATGATATCCTTAGAATTCGCCTGTATAGCCACATCTCGAAGGCTTCAAGTTTTTTCTCCATTGCTTCAGTTAGTGTTAAGGATTCAACTCCGTAATACAATATTGAGAAGATATAACATCGTAGGAGCCTTACTTTTATCTCCAGATTAAGATTGTGGCTTTTAAAGAGTTTGGCCATGTTATTAAATGCACTCCTAGCCTTCCCTATTCTACATTTTATTTCCTGTGAGTGATCCCATTGTTCATTTACTGTTGTTCCAAGATAGTTATACTGTTTTACTCGGTCCACTGGTGTATTATTGATAAGTAGTTGAGCGTCTCTTACTTTATTTTTGCTGATGATCATAAATTTAGTTTTTGTTATATTTACTTGAAGTCCAAATCTTTCACTTACTTCATTTACTTTGTTTATTAGTTGCTGTAAACTGTTCAAACTGTCTGCAAAAATAACGGTGTCGTCTGCAAAACGGATGTTGTTTAGGCGTTCTCCATTTAAAAGTATTCCATGTTCGCATTTTTCCAAGGCTTCACTAAATATTTCCTCTGAATATAGATTAAATAATATAGGTGAAAGTATACAACCTTGTCTAACGCCTCGTAGAATCTGGATCATTTCCGTTGGTTCACCTCCAAAATTCGTTATTATTGTGGCTGATTGGTTCCAGTATAAATTTTGTATTATACGCCGATCTTTATCATCCATTTGGGCTTTTGTTAGAATATCCATCATTTTTTGGTGTTGAACTGTATCAAATGCTTTTTGGTAGTCCACAGAGCAGGTGTAAATATCGCAAGTCATATCTCTGCATCTTTGAAATAATACTTGTAGACTAAACAGTGCATCTCTTGTACCTACGCCTTTCATGAATTCAAACTGTGTGTCTTGTATTCTCTCTTCGCATAGCTTGTATATTCTACGACGTATAATTTTAAGAAAAAGTTTTAATGTATGGCTCATTAGACTTATTAGCCTATATTCTCCGCACTTTTTTTGCTCCCTGTTTCTTTGGTAAGGTTATAAATTCTGAAAGTAGCCAATCTTTTGGGATATTGCCTGTGTCATAGATATTATTGAAGATTTTACATAGTACTCTTAAAGATTCATCATCAAGAAGTTTAAGAAATTCAGATTGTACTCCGTCTGGTCCTGGAGCTCTACCTTCTTTTAGTGATATTATGGCTGCTCTTATTTTTGCCACTAGTATAGGTGGTCCTGTTTCCGTAGGTATTGGGGGCTGGTTCTCTCTCTCATCAAAAAATAAATTTCTTATGTAATTTTTCCAGGTATCATTGATAATCTCTTTGTCCACGATTATCTCTCCATTGTCATTAACAAGTTTACTTACTCTTCTGTTTTTACATTTACCTGTAATTTCTCTTACCTTCTTATGCACGTTGAAGTCGTCGTATTTACTTTGGAGAATTTCGATTTCTTGGCATTTTTTCTCCAGTTCTTTCTGTTTGGCTTCTCTGATCTTTCTGTGTATTTCTCGCTGTAATGTTTTATAAAATGCAATGAACACCGCTTAATCAGTTTAATGAGTCACTTGTTGAAACTCTTCCTTAGGATATTACACTCAAGAATGTATAAGATACTAGAAGAACTTAGCGGGTCAACACAATTCGGTTTTAAGGGAGGACTAGGAACAAGAGAGGCAATTTTATGTTTGAACACCTTAATACAAAACTGCTTAGATCAACGAAAAGATGTCTACCTCACCTTCATCGACTACGAGAAGGCATTTGACAATGTTAAACATGATATCATGATGGAACTACTACATAGGGCCAACATTGACCAGAAGGAGATCAGAATTATTCAGAATCTATACTGGAACCAAATGGCAAAGGTGAGGATTGATCAAGACCAATATACGGATGAATTTGAAATCCGGAAAGGTGTCCGCCAAGGCTGCATACTCTCTCCGATGCTTTTTAATTTATATGTTGAAAATATATTTGCGGAAGCATTAGAAGATACGGAATTATGCATTAAGGTGAACGGCATACCAATTAGCAACCTACGCTATGCGGACGACACAGTGATTATAACTGATAATTTGGAAGATCAGCAGTTATTACTTGATAGGGTGAATAGCATAGGTAAAAAATATGGCCTCAAAATCAACATTTTGAAAACGAAATATATGGTCATTAGCAGAAACCCTCCAGAAAACCCGATATTATGCATAGGTGACAATCGTATAAATCGCGTGAAAACTTTTAAATACCTTGGCACCACAATCAATGACCAATCGGATCCACAACACGAGATAAAAACCCGAATACAAATGGCAAGACAAGCTTTTGTGAAATTCAGACCGCTCCTATGTAATCAACACCTAAACTTCGAAATACGCTACAGAATGGTCAAGTGCTACATATGGTCCATCTTGCTTTATGGCATGGAAACGTGGACTTTGAAAAAAACATCTATCAACAAACTTGAAGCATTTGAAATGTGGTCATTGAGAAGAATGATGCGCATACCTTGGGTGGATAGAGTTCGAAACGATGACGTCCTTAATAGAGCCGGCGTGGAAAGAGAACTCTTTGAATTAATTAAAAAACGCAAGATTGGTTACCTTGGGCACATATTGAGAGGAGCAAAATATGAAATACCACAGTTAATCCTACAAGGGAAGATCGAAGGTAGGAGAGGAGCCGGCCGCAAACAATTGTCCTGGTTAAGGAATATTAAAGAATGGACAGGAATACACAATACAGGTGAGCTGTGTCACGCCGCCAAGAACAGAATTCTAGTAATGAGATAGTCGCCTACGCACTTTGGTGTATGGCATGTTAAGAAGAAGAA